TAGTGCACGCGTGGGGCTGGCTTGCTCTGCCAGCCGCAGCGGGGTGCGCTGCAACCCCATTTCTGGCTGCTTCCTCCCGGCAACACCCTGGCCCTGGGCTCAACGCCCAATATGGCTAGGTAGCGCGGAAGGAGGTCAGCTGCTTTTGGGAAACTCTTGCTTCAAGTCTTTGCCTTCATTGCGGCTCGTTTCTGGTCAGATAAAGGCCAGAGAACTAGCGTTACAGTGACCCTAACAAAGCTGTAGTGCATACTCGCTATAATCACGCTAACATTGCCGTGCTCTTTGTGCAAGAGTGAGGGATGATTGAACACTGAAAATGTTAGCTTTGGTGTTTTGTTGAGTCAGATTTGATGTCTGAGTGTCTGTAACTGGTTACTTCAGAGTGTCAGTCAGCTCATGCCCTCCGGCACGTTAACTCATGGGGTTCTAAAGATGCGCCCCACAGTAGTCTTTTAGAGGAACAGCCTATTAATATCTCCTGCTTATTGAAAATATTACACTAAAGTATTATATTCTTTATTAACATAAAAAAGTCTCGGCATAGCATGTGAGGGACTGTGGCATCAGCCCACCCGTCATCAGCTTCCTGGGCCCGCAGGACCTACATTGCTATGGATTCACAACACCCCATCGTGTGAGGGAACTGGGATCCCTTCTAAGTTTCATAGTTGGGATTTTTGTCTGTGTTGTCGTTGGGGGCACAGCTGTGGCATTGGTTGGTACATCAATTGACGAGAGTGGGATCAAGTTCCGAGGGCGCTATGACCCCTAAGGCCGCAATCTCCCCTTAACTGGCGTGCTGTAGGGGACTTTCTCCCAAACGCTAACGACGGTCCTCCGCTAATTTCGAGGACTGTCGTTACGCTGTGAGCGTACGACAGTCCTCGACATTACGCTGTCCTCGTGCACGCAAAGCAAAGCCAGCCTCCGATGCATCGCAAATGCCGAAGATAATCGCTACACACTTACTTAGTTTTCAGTAGCCAGACTGCATGCAGAGGTAGATACACCTACCGACCTCTGACGGAGTCCTTTACGTACGTGACCTCTTATATAAGTGCCTTTAGCACGAAACAAACGCGAGCGGCACAATCACGCTGCACCTTCATGTGCCCTCCCAGAGTGACGAAGAAACATCACAATTATCAAAGAGAGCAATTTATGGAGAACCGCAACGTCCATGCAAAAGTATACAAGTGCAAGCGCGCCCAGCAAATAATTCTGCGGATTTGCCGCTAAACTCAGGCGTGTTCTACACATATCGGCAGTACACATTTTTGTTGTTTACTTCTGGTGGACTGGACCTAATTCCTGGGCTCTAAAGTATGAGAATAGGGCGTGTACATGCTCTGTAGCGGCGGGTACTAAAACGGCGTCCGCAAACTGACTTGTACAATAGAATGTATATAGGGGCAGTAAATGCCACAATATTATATTATATGTCGGCCGAGACTACCCTTCGTCTGGTACCACAGGCAGTCATTGTCTGTGCCGTCGTGCTTGACCCGTCGTCCGTTGTCGAGCTTTGTATAATGCTTGCTCTCTGGCCTCAATCCAGGACACAAGCGAGATGCAACGTACGTAAAGACTTGATGTAATGACTTCCCACAAGCAGCTCACCTCCTTCCCCTGTCCTCAGGCTTACTGGATGTTGAGCTCATGTCCAGGGTGTTGCGGGGAGGAGGCAGCCTGAAATGGGTTTGCTGCGCATCTCGCTGCGGTGAAACCAGCCAGCTTCACGCGCGCACAGAAGGAAGCTTCAACGAAGCTTACTTTACTGCATGATTTTACTCCGAATACGCTTATCTAGTGTCCGTATTTGCTTACATGCAACCTACCAAGGTCAAGTGAAGGCTCCTCTGCTAACTGCAGGCAGACCATCCTACAGTATCGCAAAAGTGCTCGGTGTCCGGGTTTCGGCTGCGGAGCAGAACTGTTATTCCATCAAGTTTCCTAGAACGTTCGCTATACTTGACCATTTGTTTATATTTCCTGCTTAGCTAGCGGCTCCGTTCATTCGATCGACTGCCGACAGGTCGACAATGATGCACATCACAGGCAATACTTGTATTGTTCTAATGAAGGGTAAATGCTTACTAAACCCACGTAGAGTAAACAGGTTGATCATTATTTCGGTTAGGTTTATATGCATATATATACATATTATTTATTTCGTATAGTTTGCATACTCTGGCAAACCTGTAGGTGCCCTGCCGAACCCCAACGCATTACAAGAGGTCGCGTGGTGAACCCTTGGGTCATTACGGTGTATCTTCCCTAAACCATTCTAAATGCTTGAATTCAGCCTGTAAATTGTGCTTTTCCGTGAACAATTCTAAATAGACTAATTTTACCTGAAATAATCGTACATGGGGGGCTTGTTTTTAGTGAAAGAACTTGTGGCCGGGTGCTGCGCTCCGCCGCTCACGGCAGGCCCGGTCGGGGGCACTACCTACCAGAGTTGGGAGCCCCACCACAGTCCCCAAGTGGTAGAGTAGGGCGTCAGAGCATAAGTTTATCGATCATGTAACCTAATTTGTTACCAACTGCTATATTTCCTTTTTTTATCCGTTTTTCCCGTCTCCCCGGTCCGTTTTACTGCTCGTCACTACAGCATCGCCGATCGCATGAATCCCGAACCGCGTAGAGAGCGCTCCGTGGCACTCTTGCAGGCAGCTACCTCTAAACATCAATCACATCTTCATGTTGAATTTGAGATTGTTATAAATCATTTTGGCTCTCTAGTCAACGGCGGTTTCTTCTTCCCTGGACAATAAGGCGGCCTTTTCTCGCCCGCAGCCCAGCGTAGGGCGACCGAACTCCGACGACCCCGGCGGATTCATCAGCAGACAACGCAGTAACCTCTTCTATTCAAACTGTTTGATTGCATGCGAAGATACGATTTGTTCCCATGGTGATTGGCTAGCTTGCTCCATGCGGAGAGATGGATGGGCAACTCGAGCCTCGTCTTGATGGGAACGTTGGCTCCGAAGCGGTGGGAGATGAAAATTTTGTGGCACTAAAAAATGAAGTGGCTGTTTCAAGAGAGCAAATGCTTATGAGCGGCAATCAGGGGGCACCAGGAAGGCGAAGAAGAGACTCACTGCGACGTCTAGGACACGTCTCGATCCTTTCTTTGATTGTGGCGTTTACAACCGGTCTTTTATTGGGAACACAGCTGCCGTCCCATCGGGTTCAGCCGGCCATCCCCGTTGGCATCCCCACTATTAAGGATCGCGAGGAGGAGCAGCTCCCGTTAGAAACGCCTTCACCTCCTCCGTCTTTGCCAGAGGAAGGCGAAGCAGCGCTAGGCGCCACCGAAGTGCATGAGGCAAGTCTTGTGGGTCCACAGCTGCCGCCTTACGACGAATGGGGTTTGCCATCCCTTAATTACTTCGAGCAGACGCTGTCGCCTGTGTTGAAGCAAGGCAGAGAGGAAATATCTTCTTTACTTCACACATTGAGCCTAAGCACAGATGAACCCGACGACATTTCAAAGGCCGTACAGCGGGGAGCAGCTAGGGTTCTGTCAAGAGGAGAGAATGACGAGTTGGTTGGAATGACTATCACTCTACGGGATGTTGAGCCGATAAAAGCCAGGACGGAAAACCAGTATGTGCCGCGCTCATTTCTTGTCAGGAGGGTCCTGAGCGTCCGAACCCCTAGTATAGTAATGGAAGTAGAGGATATCACGACTGGGAATCTGCATACCATGCGACTCCGATGGGTTTATGGGGACTCAATCCGTGAGTTCGAAGAGGAAGAGATGCTTGTGACTTTTATGAAAGACCGGGCGAAAGCGGAGGAGTCCATTGCACGGCAAGCATCCCTCGGTACACCGGCTCATTTGGTGGCAACGCAGAAGGGTTTTGCAGTTCCTTTGTACGTCGGCAACGCCGAAAACGTTCCAGATGCAATTTCAGAGGGTAGATTCTACTATTTCCGTCGCGTCCAGATCCTCGAACGGCTGCACGGAGAATTCAGTTTTGCCTCTCTCATCACAGCCGACCTTTCAGTGCATGCAAGGGAGTATATTGCTCATCGTTTGCTTCACATAGTGCTTAAACTGCAACAGGCGCTACTCAGCCACAACGATCTGGATTGGGAGAACATTGATGCCCGCCCAGACGGGTCTTTTCTTCTTAGTAATTTTGATGCTTGCATTCCGTTCGGAAAAACAGTTGGATATAACGTACATCTTTCTGGGAAGACCGTTGAGCCGATGCTGCGGATTCGAGCAAACACGTCTCCAGAAGATGCGACGCCCTACGCTAACAGTGACCTTTGGTCCCTGGGAATGCTCCTTTACGAGTTGTTCACAGGCGGGGACTTGCCATATACAAATAATCCCAGCAGGTATACAGAAGAGGCAGTGGAAATGGCCCAATTCCTCATGGATATGGAAGTGCAACCTGAAGAACTCGTCCTCAAACTGGATGCCGTGAAATGCCCTGTCAGATGGAAACAGCTAATTTTGAAGCTTCTTCATCCCTCCAATGGCCAAAGACTGGCGACGTGGGATATTTTTATGGAATTTCCTGACCTTGTAGGCCACCGCCTGCCAAGGTAACTCGACTGTTCAATCTCCTTCTGTCGTCATCTTTTGATATCAGGGGAAAACTGATTTTTCGGAGGGCACAAACACCGAGCCAATGTCATGGGATATGCTGAGGGAATTTTGTAGAATGCTGAAGCAGCCTCATACCATGGCAGCAGCGGCATGAGTATATATCCTGTTATTACCCCTAGTTGCTTACAGCAGTCGAGATGGGCGGCATTTCGTGTGCTAGAGTTCTTCAACCTAACCTTTTCTCCCACCCTTGCACTGCAGTTGCAGCCTAGACTGTCAGTTCTCGCCAAAGCGAAGGTGGGCTCGGCAGTGTTCAACATCTGGCAGTCTAGCGCTCCGATACTTTCTGCGTCTTCCTCAACGCAGCGCGTCGATCTGGCGAATTTTTAAACAGAACATCTGCGCATTTTGCGCTGTTAAAACTACACTGAAGCAGGAAATACGCAGCCCACGAACGCTATAAGGCAATGTCGGCTGCAACGGATGCGAACTGAAGGAGATGTAGTCGCATCGAGACAGCCCTTAGCAACGACAGCTTGAAAGTGAGAGAGCGGTAAGGACGCAGACAACACCATGTAGTTGATACGGATGGCGGGATGCATTTAACGCGTGCATCTGATCCAGTGGCAACTGTAGTTATTGCGCCTGAGGAGACGGGTTTTCTGAATGCCCGCTATATTTTCTATTTGTTCCTTTGTATTGGCCTTCAAAAGATGCACTTTAGTTGGTTGACTTGCAGCAAACTCCTCCGAAAATTATTCGCTACACTCCTACGCAAGAGCTGAATATTCGATTCCAAGAAGTCTGCTGCTTCTGCGTCAGATTTGCCTTCACTGGCAATAAAAGCGTATTGGCAGCCTAATTCCTAAAGCTTCTGCCCCGAAGTAGATGAAGCTCTTGATCAGCCCTGCGCTACCTTGGAGAAACATCCTTCAGGCGACTGTGCAGCACGCGTATCTCACGCATAGAAGTCCGCGTATCTCACGCATAGAAGTCCTGTAGACACCCTTGCTACGTAGGACCCAGAGACACCAAAACATATTAAGAAACACCAAAACACAGTACATGGGATAGCTCGAGCACACGGCAGAATAATTTTTGCTCTACTAAAGAACAAATTTAGTAGAGCAAAAATTATTCTGCTTTGAAGCCGTGGCCAATCCAGATATGTCGTTCCCTCAAGAACAGTATTCTGCGAAAAGCGTTCTTGACGGAGCGACATATCTGGACTGGCCACGGCTTCAAAGCCGCATCATTTGCTGCTGTTCTGTATTCAGCATTGTTCTGCAAAAGAAGGAGTGCCTGCCTACTGACCATTGCTGGGTAGCGCGCGGCGTTTCCTGTTGGACGTCAGCGCCTCTTCAATGAACACTAGTACCCACAGTGCTGCCGCAGGGGCAACCTCTGAGGGGGTACAAGGAACGAGATGTATGAAACTTCCTTTTGGGTGATGCGGACCCTCAAGATGTGATAGGAGAGGCTGCTGCAGCTGCAGGCCTCTGCTTGACCAGATAGACCTAATTGATACACCTTGCCCCTCTCTCTTTACGTGGATTGCAACTTATACACCCGACGGACAGCCGATGGTCTCCAGGAGAATGAAACGAAACTCCGGCGAAAGCGCAGGCAAAGCACTTTGCCCACAGAACTCGCAGCTGCACTTTTGAAATGAATGCCTTGGTGAACCATATAAACATTTGAGTGCTGCGTACGCATGCAATACTTACATGACAGATGAGTTCGGTACTACCCATGTGGCTTTGTCCCTAAATGCGTGCAGATACGCATGAGGGACGCACTGAGCACAACTGGGTGCACAGCACTTAGCCCATTTGATTTGCATCAATCTACAGCGCTGTCTTGTTACTAGTTCCCAAGATTCTAGTCAAGCCTACAACTTAAAAGGGATCCACGCTATATGCAAGCTCAGAGTTGACGCTGAGACTGCTAAATTTTAGCGTTTGCCAATTAACCATGCATATTGGGTAGACATGAATGTGAGGAGAAATTAGCAATATCATTCTTGATATGTACTCATAAACAGATGCTATTGTGCGACGTTAAACATGGTGCGACTTAACGGAGATCGGAAATTCTCACTTTGCCTCTATGGCTGTATCTCTATGCATGCTATTGCTTTATGCTTAACAGGATCTGACTTGAGGGGATGGAAAATTCGCAGTCTGCGTCTCGGTAGAGTTTCTACGCGAAAGCACTTCACTAGTTGGTGCAGGTGAATAAAATAAAATAGCAGTTCATCAGCTCCTGCATATGCAAAACAGGCGCTCAGCGCCAGCACCTCCTGGACAGCGCGTGTATACGGATAGTCTTCAACCCCTCATGTTGCACTTTAGGGGTTAAATGACTAACAAGATACTATAACCGCCTAGGAATAGACATTGTCAATAGAAACTAGAAAGCGTATAATGATAATGTTGGAAGGAATGTAATATCATGCTTGCTGTGTTGTAGCTTCGGGCAGCTACGAGCGCTCCTGTTGTTTTCCATACATATCGGGTACTCCGCAGAAAACTTACCCCAAGCAGTCGGAATGCAGCACGCACTCGCGCGAAACGTCGACGTTAGACGATGCACCTAGGGGAACTCAGGATAAAAAACCAAGCTCCTCTGCAGAGCTTGAGAGCGCCTGCCACAGTTTAGTCTTCTGCAAGGCCGCCACATAGTTCGTTATTTAGCATACGGAAGGGCCCGTTTTAAAATAAAGCGCGACACAAAGGCATTACTAGTTTGTGTTTGAAACCACACTATATTAATGCGCGAAAGGCAAGTAGATAATGACTGCGGATACATATCGAGAAACACACTGCATAAGAAGAGCAAATCCTCACGAAGCGTTGGATGGAGATCACAGGAACGCTGCGCATCTCTAAGATCCGGGCACGCCACTCGCGATGAGCCTGATTCTGTACTGCAACTGTGAAACATCACCAAAAAGAGTTGCCATTCTTTCTTTTTACGCCGTCAGTAAGCCGCGAAACGCTACTACTTCGTGATTTGTAGTGCAGGCAGCTTAAACAGAGAAACATAAAAACCAGCCTTCGTACAGCGTCATCTGGTCTCCTCGTCAACCCGGTCCGTGTTCACGCGGGCGACGCCCAACAAAGGAAGCCCGATCACCTTCCAACAACACTTTGTACTCAAATAATGACTGAAAAGTCAAAAGGCGTAGTAGTCCCCCCACGCAAGAACCAAATGGGTTCTTGCCGCTGTCCCGCGTTTCAACATAACGGCAAGGAAGCAAAAGGAGAGCTTATTCTGGAATGTGTACTAGTTCAGGAAACTCCTCAAGTATCCCCCAGGCGGTTATTCTATGAGTCCTTTTTGGCTCCAGCAATCTCACAATAAGTTGCATCCACCGAGGTGGTACTTTCTCAGCCCCTAGGCGAGGTAACATAATGTCCGACCTTGTGTTGCCCTCAAGAAGCCATTTCGCGAGCATAACTTCTGGAGTATCCGTGCCTTCGGCTTCGATTTCTCCATATGGATATCGCTGATCTGTAAACAGTTCGTACAAGAGGACCCCAAGGGACCACATGTCGCTGCTCGCTTGCGGGATAGTGTACCCGTCCCCGTACTCCGAGCAACTAGGCTGAGCTAGCTGAGGCTCCCGATATTCCGGCGTGTACAGTGTCAGGTGTCTATACGGTTTTCCAAACGGGAGGATGGAACCCAGATCGGCGATAACGAATGAACCGTCCGGGCGCAGCAGCATGTTGTCCCACTTCAGGTCGTTGTGGCTGAGGCCTGCCTCCTGGATTTTGAGAACAGTTTGCAGCAAACGGCGAGCTATGTACTCCCGTGCTTCAATTACAACTTCTCTCGCGTCTGTAAAAAGGCTGACGACAGCACCGTAAAGCCTCTCCATTAGCTGTACGCGTCCCAAGATAAAATATCCTCCAACGTGCACGCCTTCAGGAGCTCCAGCAATGTCGGCAGTGTACAAGGGAACTGAGATGCCCTTCTTTGAGGCAACCATACTTGCTGGAATGACGCCGCATAGCTGCCGTGCTCCCTCCTCCTGCAATCTAAGCTCCCGCCTAATCTCGGCAACAAAAGAATCATCACTTTCATACCCCTGTGCAAACTCTTCAGCTTGCCGGAAAATGCGCATCGCAAACAACTCATGGGTATCCGTATCCTCCGCCTCCACCACTATGGCTGAAGTGCCTCTCCCCAGCAACTTATTTATGCGAACAATGCGGCTCAGAGGGCCGTTTTTCTCCATCCAATGCAATGGCTTCACATTGTTCAAGACCATGGTCATGCCAATCAAGGTATCCGAGGAACCATTCGACAGCGTTCTAGCAACCGTCTGTATTTCGTACGGTTCTTGATCATCTGCGTCCTCGGTAATGCCGGTATTAGCAAGGAAGGCTGCAATTTCATCTTTNCCTCGCTTCACCACTGGAGGGAGTGTCTTCTCAAAGTGGTCAAGCATCGGCAAGCCCCACATGTCGTAAAAAGGTAGTTGATCTTCAGGACGCGAAGGGGGTACGGTGGCTACCGAAGACAAAAGAGACGCATCCTTCTCACTGTCTGCTGGAGGCGCATTTGCAGGCTCAGCTTGGTGTTGCTGCTCTGGTTCTGTTGCAGCACTCGATGGCGTCGCAGAAGAAGGCATACGATCATCCCCACGATGACCTCCGCCTTCGCCTTCCTTGTCCAGAGGCATTCGGCTACGTGCATCTGCCGGAATTTTGGAGAGGACGGTGAATGCAAGCGCACTTGCCACACCCAGAGTCAAAAAGTAGAGTAAATATCGTTCCCATTGCCTTGGACGGGCAGTACCTGTATTCCCTTTTGCAAGATATGTACTAGCTTGAAGTGGCGCATCTTCTCGAATGGATTTATCTATAATGGAAGGAGAAACGATGCTCTCTTGCGCTTCATTGTGGAGGATCCCCCCAATCATCTCTGTCCAGAGGCGATAGGAGCAAAACCGCGAATGAACCGAGTAAACAAACCACCCTACAGGGAAAGTGATACAGGCAAAGTAGTCTAAACTACCAAAGGCGAGAATAAAAGTTGCAAACCTTCAGGGTAAAGACTGAGACTCTTCGGCAGCGGGGTTATGGAGACGCGTTCTCTGTGGTGAAGGACCGCTATTAAGCAACACCAGTATACAAACTTGAAAACAAATGAACAGCACGACACAAAAACCTTTGAAGAAAAACTGGTGAATAAGTTACTGTAGGCACCTACTTCATACGTGTGGATTTATTTGGAGGCAGCCCGCGTTGTAGTTGGCTTTGGGGTGTAGTCGATTGGGCGCTCATCTGATTTCGGCACGCTGCATATTATTGCTAAAAGTATAGCTAAGTACTCCAATTTCATTTGCATTTTGTTAAAGCTATTATAAAATGTGTAGTCATATTTGGCCGAACAATACACCCAGCTATGGCTTGTTTCTAAAACCCTCATCCGAGATCGCTACCAGATACTTAGCGTGCTCTGCCTGCAGTTAACACAGGAACATCCGTTTGGTCGTGGTAGGTTGCCTGCAAGCAAAAAAGTGCTCAATAAATGCCTGCAGCGGTGAAACATGCAGTAAAGTAAGGTTTGTTGAAGCTCTCTTGTGCACGTGCGGGAGGCATGCAACACCAGCTGCGGCGGGGAGCAGTGCAACTCCAGTTCGGCTGACTCCTCCCCCGCAGTCCCAGGCCCTGAGCTGAACAACAAGAATACCTGGGGACGGGGGAGGGAGGCCAGCTGTGTTTGGGGAAACTCTTACCCAAAGACTTTAGCTTTAATGCAGCTCCGTCTAGTCCTTGAATAAGGAAGGAAAGCAGGCATTACACTTGGTAACACCACATGGTTATTAACCCCAGGTCCATGCTTCGACGGGGCAGGTGCGACAAACGAAGCTCACCTGCAAGAGGCGCCGGGCACAGTTGCAAAAAATGAGTAGAAACAGCGAAGGGGGGAAACTATTTTTCCTTTTGCATTAACGAAGTTGTCTTAACATTTCAGACTTTTCTTTTCTTTTCAGACTTTTCTTTTGTACCCAATGGAAATTGATCATGATCTGCCCCAATGTGGGGGAGGGCGACACATGTTCTGGAGCTTTGCCGAGAAGAAGCAAGCTCGATTGCAGCACCTAATCCGGGGGAATATGGATTTTCACGAACAGAATTCAAGAAAAATGCCTCGAACTGTCGTGATACAACTTGCGTCTGGAAGCGGAAACAGTGGACCAGTTCCTTNAAATTGTAGAAGCTCGTATTAAAAACCAGGTGCTGCTAGCGCCACTTTATACGTGCTGCTAAGTGCATCTGATATCGGAAGCCACGCCAAGAAATGCAACCAACGCGTTCATTCGTTGGCGCAGCCTTTGAGGCTACGCTTCGCGGGCCGGAGGCAGGATGCAACACTCGGCACAGCCAGGAGCGTAATATGCCCTCCTACTTCCAAAACGGGGCACATTAAAATGACCAGGGACTTCTACATTGAGCCTGTTCACCACAAGATAATCCTAGGCATGCCGTGGGCGACTCAGGGGAAGGCGCAAATGCATTCCCCTGATGACGCCATAGAGCTCTTTCGGCCAGGAAGTTATGAGAGTGTGCACCTCTCAGCGCTCTCAACGACATTTGCATCTTTTACGGTCGGAGGAATGGAAAGTATGTCCCACGGGAAGCGGTGTGATGAATCTCCCATGCAGTGCAGAGGCACTGAAGGAAACGAAGGAGACATGCGTGCACCCCGTCGTGACGGTCTGGTAAAGGCAGCAGTCTTGGGGGTTTTGATCCAGTCAACACCCGAGGAAAGGCAGAAGTGGGCAATGCTGAAGGAAAAGTTCTCAGTCGTCCTCAATAACAAAGAGGCCGCGGCTGGCAGGCCATCCGCTAGACGCGCAATGCACCGCATCGAGCTCGTTCCCAGGTCAGCCCCAAGCTTCGTTCCAAGGTACAGGCGACCCCCTTACCTTGAAGACGAAAATAGCAACAGGTAGACGAACTTCTGAGTAAGGGCAATGTTCAGCAGTCAACTACCGCCTTTGGGAACAATCTGGTGTCGGCGGAGAAGAAGGACAGCAGGTGGCGCATCTGCGCCGATTCCAAGCCCCTTAACAAAATCGCCGTAAAACAGAAGTTTTCGATACCCAGGATCGACTAAATCCTTGGCCNTGCCGATCCTAATTCATCCGGAGGACAGGCACAAGACGGCGGTCCACACCCGCCCTCGCAAGCTGCAGTATACCTTTATGCTGTTTGGCCTCTTGAATGCGCCTGCGGAACTGCAGCAGCAGGTCAATCTTCTTGAGGCCAATCACTGAGGGGTGGGTTGTAATAAACGAACACGTTTGCGCTTTCACGAACCATTGTTTCTCACGTAGTGCTTGCAGCGCCCGCCCAAGGTGCTGCAAGTGTTCCTGAGCATTCCGGCTAAGCACAAGTACATCATCCATGTATTTCATGCAGCCAATCAGTTTATTAGGGTTTCGTCTCTCTGGCGCAGGGTGTTGAACCAGATCAAGCTCAGATCGAGGTGATTTATAGGCGGCCCCTAGCGCTGTACACGCGTTCGGACGTTCAGAAGTTCCTCGACATCGCCTGATGCTACCGCAACTTCATTCGTGGATTCTCTCGTACTGACGCCCCTCTGACCAATCTTCTTAAGAAGGACAAGCGTTTGGACGGAGAATGAGGATGAAGCCGCTTGACGCCTCACCAGGCACTTGACATCATCCCCATTACTCCCGCTCCCTGGTTTTGACAAACCCTTTTGCCTCACAGCTAGCAACACCAGTTCGGTGTTATGCTCTCTAAAAAGGGTTGCTCGCTACTCACATCGTTTCACAGGGAGGGAGCAGAAGTACCCAGTACGGGGGAAGGAAGTCTATGCAGTCTGGCGGGCACTAAAAAATGTCGAAATCAAATATATGGCAGGCACTTACTGTCCAAGCCGAGCATCAATCCGTGACTCACCTAAAAAAAAAATTTCAAGACTATGATAACAAAAGAGTTGTGCTGTGGCTCTCCCGGCTCACGCAGTTCGACCTCACCGTCAAGTATATCAAGGGTATCACCAACGTGGTTGCTGATGCACTCTCCACTCCCTACAGGTCAGCCACAATGTTCCGCAGCTGCATTTCCTTACCTCTAAATTGCTTCCTTCTTATTCACCAGATGGTCAGAAGGCTGCAGTCCTAGCTAAACTCAAGAACGGGCGAAGGATCAAGCACTACAGCATCGACAGCGACCCGCTGTGGTACCAAACGAGGCGTGGAGTTCGCAGATTGTTCTTTCCCGCCTCGCTTCGCACGGATATTTTGAACAAAATGCATGAGCATGCTTTGGCGGGTCATGGTAGGGTCAATGCAACGGTGGAGCATGTTGCGAGGTCCTTTTAGTGGCCTAGGTATGTGTGTGTGTCTGTGTGCGGGCGAGTGGGGGAGCACAGCGGGCATACCTGAGCCTCTACTCCTTCGATAAGCTTTAGTCAATGCCCCTAAGTTATCGTATCTCGCCGCTGTTACTCCGGCGTTTGTCTGCTTTCCTTTGACAGGCTGCTGATTGGGCAATCTCAGCCTATTATCTTCCACTGTTTATTGATTCCTACGCACACGCTTCAGTATTTCCGCGCGGGAGCAGCACACGCAAGAAAACGGGCAGCGCGAGACACAGCAGCAGCAAACTCGAGAGCATCACCGGCAACTGCAGACGACAGTGCAGAACTGCTACCTCGCCTTCAATCAGCACATCAGCACACGCAGACGTGTGTTTTTTGTCGGATGGGGGGAGCAGGTGTAACATGGTCTGCCTACAGTTAGCACAGGAACCTTCACTTGGCCTTGGTAGGTGGCGTGTAAGCCAATGCAAATGTTCTATAGGTACATTCATCGGTAAATCATGCACCAAATGAAGCTTCCTTGTGTGCCCGCGTGAGCATGGACTGCTTTACCAGTCGCAGCAAGGTGCGTTGCAACCCCACCTCAGGCTGCCTCCTCCCTGCAACGCTCAGGCCCTAAGCTCAACGCCCAGGAGGCAGGAGGGCAGGGGAAGGAGGTCAACTGCTTCGGGATACTCTTACTTTAAGCCTTTACCTGCATTGCATCTCGCTTCTGTTCTTCATTAAGGCCAGAGAGCAAGCGTTATACCTCANTTAAGCCTTTACCTGCATTGCATCTCGCTTCTGTTCTTCATTAAGGCCAGAGAGCAAGCGTTATACCTCACGTAAGCTTCACAGAGGGAATGGCCTGAGATAGGAATTAGAGATACGGAACGTAACGAAATGATGAAGTTGATACAAAAAACGTATTCACACACATCAGTGAAGTCCTTGAAAATACGGTAATAATATGCTGGTGTTGGGTTGGGACTGACATCGATAGCGTTTCGTCGGGGCCCCCGAATTAGGCTCCCAGCACTGCCTTGGGCCGCCGCAGTCAGTCGGTTGCGGCTTCGCCCACGCACGCCTCCACGTTGCATACGACTGTGTAACCGTGTGAATAATCCTAACGAGAACCGTATATGTGACGTAACGTAATGTGACGTAAGCGTGCTCCTAATTGGGAAGTGCGAATTGCCAACTAAGAAGAGAATTGAAAATACTCGCTGATATAGAACTGTTGTAGTGCGCCCGCAGGACACTGGCTCCTTCCCCCAACACCCAGGCCCGAGCTCAACGCCCAGGACGCTGGAGGACAGGGGAAGAATNACACTGGCTCCTTCCCCCAACACCCAGGCCCGAGCTCAACGCCCAGGACGCTGGAGGACAGGGGAAGAATGTCAAGTGCTTTCGGAGAACTTTTACTTTAAGTCTTTACCTACATTGCAGCTCGCTTCTGTCCTTGATTAAAGCGAGAGCAAGCGTTATACATGGAGAACCCCTGGCGCTTGACAGTCAGTACTCTATAGGATTAATAAGATAGGAACTATTGCGTTTCAATATGAATTAGGTCTCAAATAGCCCGTTAGAGAATCATTCTAATGGAACGGTTCAGCGGACTGCCCTTGAGAGCAAAGGGGCAGCCTGCTGCGCTGGCGGCCCTCGGGCAGGAGACCGACCCCAGGAAGTACTGCCCTGACGAAGAAGCGGGAGCAGGAATTCCTCAAAGCGGAGCGCTGCTTTCCACTATTTCGGTTATTCATGTTTCATGTGTTTTGAACAAATTGCCACACTCGTAGAATTTTGTTTTTCCTTCCTTAGAACCTCGCGTGTTAAACTCATCAAGAGTAACACGACGTTCCCTAGACAAGTTGAGGAAGCCTGACTTGTGCACAACGTTTCCACTTGGATTCCATGATCCACTTTTTTATTTCGTGCGGAGGCGTTGATATNTGCAGAAACCCAAGGGTGCTACACCCAAGCACAAGCAGCATCAAGGCCACGGTTGAGGGGCTTGCAAACAGGTCACATGATGCAGCTGGGATTATTGTTCGGCCAAACAATACCGCACATTTTATAAGAGCTTTAACAGAAGGTGAAAGAAAATTGACGACTGAACTGCTGTAGGGGCTCTAATGTGCTACGCGCCAAATTCGGGAGAGTGCACAATCGACGACATCCCAGGCAACCGACGAATTATATCGCGGGTTGCTTCCCAATAAGTCCATAGTTGAGAGGTACGTGCCTGCAGCAACTTATTTAGTAGTTTATTCAAGAGTTTGTGTGTCGTGTCATTCTTTTGCTTTCAAATTCGTTCGGTGGGTGGGGCCTACTGCGGCCCTTCCATCAATCCCAGCCGGCGCGTCTCCATAACTTCGCTCCCAAGAGTTTCAGTGTTTGTTGCGCAGATTTGCGTGTTTTTCCATGCCTTTGGTAGTTACGAGTGCTTTGCCTGTAAGCTTGTTTGTTTTCCCAATTCATGTGCGGTTTTGCTCCTATCCCCCCTGAACAGAGATGATTGGGGGGCTCCTTCATCTGGAAGGGCAAGATCGCATTGTTTCTCCCTCCGCTGTAGACAAGTTCATTAACAGAGATGCACCGGTGC